TTTAAAAGTATTTGCAAAATTATATTTCCAAACTTTTTTTAAGTTTACAAAATATTTCTAAATAGTTTCATTTTAAAAAAAATATCGATGCATTTATGTGTAGTATTTAAGTTGATTTACGTGGATTTGTTTTTCTTTTTTGAAAAGATTTCCGTAATTGAAATTAAGCTATATATGTGAGGATTTTTGTTAATTTGTTGAATTGGTAATTGATTGTCAAATTAAAAAGATTTCAGTTTTGAAAACTTTGAAAACTCAATTAGCAAATCAACAAAAATTCTTCCATATCTTAATATTCCAATAACAGAATTCACTCAAATCTTCTCAAAAAAGAAAAAAAAATCCACGTAAATCAACTTAAATGCTTCATATAAATGTATTCATATTAAAAAAAGAAAAAAAACTGGAATTCCAAAAAAAAATCAAAGAAAATTCCTCTCTCTCCTCTCTCGCTCTCTCTCCTTTTTTGCTCTCTCTCTCCTCTCTCGCTCTCTCTCTCCTTTTTCTTTTTCGCTCTCCAATTTTTTTCTTTTTTTAATATCAATGCATTGATGTGGAGCATTTAAGTTGATTTACATGGATTTTTTCCTTTTTTGAAAAGATTTGAGTGAATTTTATTATTAAAATATTAAGAYATGAGAGAATTTTTGTTGATTTGATAATTGATTCTCAAATTAAAAAAATTCATCATTTAAATTTTGAAAACTCGTTAAATTTTGTTTCTCCCTCTTTCACGCTCTCTTTATCGCTCTCTCTCCTCTCCCTCTCGTTCTCTTTTTCGCTCTCTCTCTTCTCTCTCGATCTCTTTCTCCTCTCTTGTTTTCTCTCTCCTCTCTCGTTCTTTTTCTCCCTCTCTCTTCTCATTTTTCTCCCTCTCTCTCTTCTCGTTTTCTTGTTCTCTCCCTTTTTCGTTTTGTTGTTCTATTCGCGAATGCATTCTCGGCCATAAATAATTTTTTATCCTTACTACAGAATCCAAATAGCGTACTTCGTTGGTCAAAGAATACTCAAAAGTTTTTTTGAAAAAAAAATGAAACAGAGGAGAGGGATTTTTCATTAATTCATGTGAAACCGAAAAAAAGACGAAACAGAGGAGAAAGGTAGAGAAAAATCTAAAAAAATTTTGTTCATTTTAATTTTGAGAAAATTTAAAGAAAGAGAAAGTTTGAAATCCATAAAATTCTAAAAGTTTTGAAGAAAAAAAGAAGTTTAAAATCCGTAAAAATCTAAAAAAATTGAAAAGAGAGAAGAAGAGAGAGAGAAGAGAGGAAGATGAAGAATGAGAGGAGGGAGAATGAGAGAGAATAGGGTGAAATAAAAATTGTAAGTATGTTAGTGGAGAGGTATAGCAGTAATTTGGAATGGATAGTGATGTCAGCAAATGTTTACGAAACATAAAAATGAGGGGAGGAGTCACATTTCATAATGATCTTTTGAGAAAGGCTATTTAGTCCAATTTTCCCCATGTTATAAAGTCACCAAATTAATTTAGCATTCAAAGGCAAAACAAACATTTTTGACCCAAATTCACTTCCTATCTCACACTCGAGCAACATCCGCCAATCCCTGGTCGGCATCGTTTATGGTTGAGACTAGGACRGTATCTGATCGTCTTCGAGCCCCCAACTTTCGTTCTTGATTAATGAAAACATCCTTGGCAAATGCTTTCGCAGTTGTTCGTCTTTCATAAATCCAAGAATTTCACCTCTGACTATGAAATACGAATGCCCCCGACTGTCCCTGTTAATCATTACTCCGATCCCGAAGGCCAACAGAATAGGATCGAAATCCTATGATGTTATCCCATGCTAATATATACAGAGCGTAGGCTTGCTTTGAGCACTCTAATTTCTTCAAAGTAACAGCGCCGGAGGCACGACCCACCCAGTTAAGGACAGGAGCGCATCGCCGGCAGAAGGGACGAGCCGGCCGGTGCTCACCATAGGCGGACCGACCGACCCAACCCAAGGTCCAACTACGAGCTTTTTAACTGCAACAACTTAAATATACGCTATTGGAGCGGCCAAACCACTTTAAATTCAACAAACTCATCCAAGCACACTTCAAATATAAAAAACTTACCCAAACTACTTAAAAATATTTTTAATGCTTAACTCACTCCAAATCCCATAAATTTACCAAATTAATAAATTTTACAGCCAAAACAAACATGTCTATAACTCTTTCAAACTCATTCGAATTCCCACAAACTAACTCAAAAACATTTTACATCCCACAAACTTACTCAAACTAATTCCTAAAAAAAAGTGTCCAGCTCATGCAATCTCATCACTCCAAATCCTACTAACTTATCGAAACTAACCAATTAAAAAAAAACGTGTTTAACTCACATAAATTAACACTCTATTATTTATAGTATGGC